AAAACTGCGGTTTGGGTCTGACCTCGCGTGAATAACAGGCCCTTTGTTTTTAAATTAATCAAACTTCAGAATGTTCAACACAACGTTACACGATTTTCTGGCTGTGAAGTCAAATAAACAACAATTCCAGTATGGTGAATTTATCGCCAACTTCTCGTAAAATGAAAGACAGTTCGTTTGTTTTTTCACTGAATGGTCAATTTAACACTTTTGTTATTATATAGATATTTTTTGTCATTTCGCCTTTTTTATTATAAATTTAAAATAGCTTTTGGTAGCAGCGATTATCTGGTAGCCCCAACAATATTAACTTTATACATGTTGTGAAATTTGTATTTGAAATGTTCATTTTTGAGCAAAACCCTCGCGGTAAAACTTTCAGTTTTCTCAATTTAAAATCGGGCTAATAAGAGGAAAATAGGCGGGGTTTCACATCAAGAAAACGCTGATACAAGTGTGATGGAAGCTGAGAATGTCATTCACAAAATTTTCTTCATGTACCACCAAAATATATTTGGTCGTTGTTGCATGTCCTGGATGCATGTCCTGGATGCATCATGGAGCGAAAGGTTTGCAAACAAACACTTCTTAAAAAATTGAGAAACTTTTCGAGACTCTTCATCAACAAAGATCGAGGTCGCGAGAACAACTTGCCCCTTGAGGGACCTGGTAAAGGGTTTGCCAATTCCAGCGTATTCATTGTAGACACAAAGAAGGCTGGCAAAAGCTCTCTAAGTTTCATGGAAAGAAGCCATCGTTAATTGGCATTATTCTATCCGAGTCCAAAGTGTAGAAAGATCTACTCTCTTTCTGAGTTATTAGAGATAGAAGTCCACACAGAGACTATGGTTTACTATAGAATTCACAACTTGCCTTTATTGTTTCAATTTCTAAGTGAATGCAATACATTTTTATTTTATCGTGAATATTGAAATTTAGTATATACACACTCAGTGATGTTGGTGTTTCAATCAATCTGATTGGTTCGCTATCTCGGGCTAATGAACAATGTACACCTCCGAGCGAGTGTATAATGTGAAAAACAAAATGGTGGGCGTAAACTCCCGTTTCGCTAAAGTTTCAGAAGCAGAAATTGCCTTTAAATGGCTTCCTTCTAATTTTTTCGAGATCACTTCGTGTGTATATACTAAAACAATTATTCTTTTCAATCTCGGTGAATAGTGGCTAAATATTTACCGAGCTGCGAAGCGGCGAGGTAAATATTCCCGAAAGCCACTATTCACCTTGATTTCAAAGAATAATTGTTAATTATTTTTAATTGCAAATAATGTCATTTAACTGGAACAGAGCCACCTCGTCAATTTGTTAAATAAACCATTGCTGTTGTTATCATTATCTGCCAAACGTCCAATATTGTAGTGGAAGAGAATTACGAAAGATTCGTTGAACTTTCCAAAGACCCAGAGCATGAAATAAGATGATTATAAGAGCA